TCAACTTTTTTATTTGCGTTTTGAAGACAATAAATTTTGTGATGGTAACAGTAAGGGAGCTGTAAGATGTGCTGTTCTAACATTGACTTTATTGACAACTCTAGACTTGATCTGACAACCAACACTTCTTAGTAATAAAGGCATCCTGAAATTTACAAAGTTACCTTATCATTCATATTATTATATTAAACATAAGCAAACTAGTGAAACTGGCTTTATATCATCACTCATTTAACTTCTGCTGTCAGGGGCATTAACTCATCAATAATTGATTGAGCTGTTGAAGGTACAGGTTCACCCAGCAATAATACCTCAGAAAGAGGTTCACAGCTCACCCTCGAATTTTGAGCCAATCCATGTGTGTCCAGAATTAACCTCGTATTAAGGTTATAATGACGACAAGTCTTTTCTTAAGACTCCTAGAAAGTGAAAGTAAAGTGTACTCTGTGATATCTGACATCTGAGTATTCCGACATTCTGCGTAATCCGACATCATTTTCTGGTCACGATTGATTTCCTTCTTAGGCTAGTTAAAAAATAACTAGTTAGCTAGTTGCATTATATTTATAAAAATTAATTCATATACTTGTGATATATTTGAAAATCATTGAATTTCAAAGTCAACAATGTTTGAAACTCTGCATTCAAAATTCAATTACACTTACCTTTTTTCACCAATTTTTAAATCTTTCAGAATATCAGAATATTCCAAAGTAAAATTATCAACTATAAGACATAAGACCAGAATATGGAGAATAATTTTGTCTTTCATTCGTACTGACATACACCTACAAATAAAAGACTATTATCAGCACTTTAAACATATAATAGGGCTGCAAATAACAGAGGCGGCAGTCTGATATTTTAAGCAGGTTAAAAAAATAAGAAGCTCAAATTAATGAAAGGCATAGCTCAAAATCTATATCTCCTTCTCTAACTAAAAAAACCTAAAAATATCGAGGTGTCACTGCTTGAAACCAAAATTAGCTTTAAACTGTTAAAGGGGCAGTCTGATTTTTTCAGCAGGTTAAAAAAATTAGATGCTCAAATTAATGAAAGGTATAGCCCAAAATCTATATCTCCTTCTTCTTCTAACTAAAAAAAACCTAAAGATATCGAGCTGTTACTGCTTGAAACCAAAATAAGCTTCAAACTGTTAAAGGGGCAGTTTGATTTTTTAGTAGGTAGGAAAGTTGGGTGCTTCAATGAATGAAAGTTATGAACCAGAATCTAAAGAAATTTGTCCCTTACTATAAGTGAAAAGGGTCTCAAGTATCATTTAATTTTGAGAACTCCAAAGCTATATAAAGGGTTTACATAAACCTTTTAAAGTGACTATGTGTTTGATAGAATTTGGAAGCAAATCAAACATTTTTGAAGAATTATGGAAATAACAATTGGAAAGAGTAGGAAACCACAACTTTATGTTTCTGTACCAACACACAACTCTTCAAATTTAAAGAAATAGGGCTACTATGAAAGGTCAATAACTCATTAACCAAATTTTACCTGGAAGCCCTTTTCTTGCCATCTCCTTCAATTTTTAATGTGAAATTATTTAACAAGGACTGTTTTAATATATCTGGCCAGGCTTTAGGTAAAATGTCTAAAATTAAAAAAAAAAAAACAATGCATAAAGTCAGTAACATAGGCAATATTGGTCACAACAAATAATACAGAATCTACTACTAGCTGTTAGTCAAATGTCACGAGATTGAGAAATCCTTAATGAAATAAATCTTCACTAAATAGATAATTTAGCCAATTCTGATTGGATGAAGAAATTGGGTAAGGTACTCTGTTCTATTAAATCCAATAAAAATCCTAGACTCAACTTTTTGGTGAAAGGACTACTCTTACAAGAATATACATCAGGATATATGGAAAGTATGTGTTATGAAGCAAATTTGACCAAAAAAATAACAAGCGGATACACTCACTTTCCTGATACATTTTCAGTATATCAAGTACAGTCACCAATCTGTGTAAATTATACCAAAAATCTTGTACACACAAATATTTTAAAATTTTTTAAAATAAACTGTCACCTCTATCACTTTCACAAGCCAACAAATTTTGACACATATCTCAAGTCAAGGGCAATAACTCAAATTACGTTCATCGAAAGATAG